TCGAACCCGCCACCTTAGGTGTACGTGGCTGGCGCCTTAGCCGGTTGAGCTATAGGCGCCGAGCCTAGGCAGTCTATCTTAAGAGTAACTAAACATAGAGCCAGTCAAAAGATGGCTCTTACTGGCATTTTTGGTTTATCTTAAAAGTTCTTTATTTATTTGGTGTGCTGTTCTTTTGAAGGGTCACTCAAATGTAGATAAAACTGCAGGAACACAGTTCATATTCACTTAGTTGACCAGAACTAGGAAGTTAAATCCTCTGTCTCTGTCACTTGTATGTTATATGGCTGTAGTTAACTCAGTTTATGTTTGTTAAATGACTAGAACTGGGAAGTTATGTCTATCGTCTTTCTGTGTAAGTTTAGAAGACACATGAAGAGTCCCTGTCTCCGGCATCACTTATGCTTCTCATTAGGATGGATTGTCTTAGTAATAGCTTTACTCCTTTTTCTCTTTTCATATAGGATCACAGTCACCTTCTATATAGCACCATCCCCAGGATGCAGGAGCCAGGGCAGATTGTGGAGACCTACACAGAGGACGACCCTGAGGGAGCCATGTCTGTGGTCTCTGTGGAGACCTCAGATGATGGAACTACTCGGCGCACAGAGACCACAGTATGCCAAGACTTTGTTATGTCTGGGAGTGTCTTCCTATGGTTTCTATTAGGGAGGGATTAAGCACTTAATTAAGGTGACTGAAAGGCCACTGATCTGTAGGGATGGCCTAAGAAGGTCATCTCTGGTCAGACAGAAAAGATAAAGAGAGATATGGGAAAATCTAATGGAATAGGGAAGAGAAAAGGGTGCAACAAGGTCTATAGTAGCTTCCTTTATAGGCACAGTTATTGCCAGGGCAGTTTTCCTGCTTAGGGACCTCCTGTATGATGGAAAGAAAGGTAGATGGCAGACTGTAAGCCATTTCTAGGTAAAGAGACCTAGAGGTGTAGGGGTTTCTTAAAGTGGTCTAACATTTGTTCACTTTCTTCATTAATTCTCTTTTTCTTATTTCTTACTTGAAGGTTAAAAAAGTAGTGAAGACTGTGACAACACGGACTGTACAGCCAGTCCCTGTGGGACCAGATGGGCTGCCTCTGGATGCTTCTTCAGTTTCTAACAACTATATCCAGACTTTGGGTCGTGACTTCCGCAAGAATGGCAATGGGGGACCTGGTCCCTATGTGGGGCAAGCAGGCACTGCTACCCTTCCCAGGAACTTCCACTACCCACCTGATGGATATAGCCGCCACTATGAAGATGGTTATCCAGGTGGCGGTGACAACTATGGCAGTCTGTCCCGGGTGACCCGTATTGAGGAGCGGTATAGGCCTAGCATGGAAGGCTATAGGGCACCTAGTAGACAGGATGTGTATGGCCCCCAACCCCAGGTTCGAGTAGGTGGGAGCAGTGTGGATCTACATCGTTTTCATCCAGAGCCTTATGGTCTAGAGGATGACCAGCGTAGCATGGGCTATGATGACCTGGATTATGGTATGATGTCTGATTATGGCACTGCCCGTCGGACTGGGACACCCTCTGACCCTCGTCGACGCCTCAGGTAGGCAAGAATAGGGGAAGAAAAAGGTCTTTCTGAGACAAGAGATCCTTTTCCTTCCTACTTCTAAGAGGATTTTATTCCCCCTCCCAGTTTTTGGCCGGGGCTGGGTTTGAACCCACCACCTCTGGCATATGGGGCTGGCGCTCTACTCCTTTGAGCCACAGGCACCACCCAAGTTTTATTTTATTTATTTATTTATTTATTTATTTATTTTTTGAGATGGAGCCTCAAGCTATACCCCTGGGTAGAGTGCCATGGCATCACGCTCACAGCAACCTCCAACTCCTGGGCTCAAGCGAGTCTCCTGCCTCAGCCTCCCAAGTAGCTGAGACTACAGGCGCCCCCCACAACGCCTGGCCGTTATTTGGTTGCAGCCATCATTGTTGTTTGGCGGGCCTGGGCTGGGGATTCGAACCCGCCACCTTAGGTATATGTGGCTGGCGCCTTAGCCGCTTGAGCCACAGGCACCGAGCCTATTTATTTATTTTTTTGGAGACAGAATCTCACTCTGTTGCCCAGGCTACACCAGGCTAGAGTGCAGTGGTGTCAGTCTAGCTCACAGCAACCTCAAACTCTTGGGTTCAGGCAATTCTTCTGACTCAGCCTCCCAAGCAGCGGGGACTGTTAAGTGCCCGCTACCATACCTGGAAAATTTTTCTATTTTTGGTAGAGACAAGCTTTTGCTTTTGCTCAGCCTGGTGTCAAATTCCTGAGCTCAAGGGATCAGCCTGCTTTGCCCTCCCGAGTGCTAGGATTATAGGCCTGAGCCCCTGAGCTTGGCCAGCCTCTTCTCTTCTGCCACAGTTTTTCCTTTTTTTGATTTGCTTGGTATTGACCTTCTATATCATTTTTTCATTATGAGAGTCTTATGTTATAATTACAGAACACAGTTTATAATGGTTATTGGTCCATGTCATGAAGAATGGACTGCTTTTATGCCAAAGTTTCTATTGTTTCTGGCTAAGATTTGATGTTCTGTTGGTGATAGAGTGCATCACAAAGGATCCTGATGTTCAGGTTCACGTGATACTCATCCCTGGGAATTTCTTCAGCTTCTGGTTTGGTTTTAAGAGCAGAATTGAGGGCCACACATTGGCTCTCACTTGTAATCCTAGCACTCTGGGAGGTAGAAGTAGGAGATTACTTGAGGCCAGGAATTCAAGACCAACCTGAGAACATAGTGAGACTCTGTCTCTACAAAAAATAACAACAGCAAAACAACAGTTTTTGGTCGTAGTAGCATGCACCTATATTCCTCTGAGGCTGAGGCAGAAGAATCACTTGAACCCACAAGTTTGAGGTTGCAGTGAGCTCTAACAACACCGTGTACTCTGGCCTGGGCAACAAAGTAAGACCTTGTCTCAAAAAAATTAAACAGATTGGGCAGCGCCTGTGGCTCAAAGGAGTAGGGCGACGGTCCTATATACTGGAGGTGGCGGGTTCAAACCTGGCCCCGCCAAAAATTGCAAAGAAAAAAACAAAAACAAAACAGATTTGAGGATTTAAGCTCTCAGAGTCAGAAGAAACAGTTAAAGGTAATATAAGAACCTTCCTGTGGTAGTTTTAATCTCAAAGATAAAAACAAACCTTGACCTCACAAAGGCCCTGACATTTTATGTTTAGGATTTTGTGGTTTTCTTTTTTTTTTGAGACAGAGTCTCAAGCTGTCACCCTGGGTAGAGTGTTGTGACATCACAGCTCATAGCAACCTCAAACTCTTAGGTTTAAGTGATCCTCTTGCCTCAGCCTCCCAAGCAGCTGGGACTTACAGGCGCCTGCCACAACGCCTGGCTATTTATTTATTTTTTTGGTTATAGTTGTTGTTTGGTGGGCTTGGGCTGGATTCGAACCCTCCAGCTTGAGTGTATGTGGCTGGAGCCCTAGCCACTTGAGCTATAGGCGCGGAGCCGATGCTTAGGGTCTTATATTTGATTACAAAGTGAAGTGAGGGTGGAGTCCTTGAGGGGAGGGAGTAAATAGCAACATTCTGAAACGTTGCTAAACAGCTGCCTAGTCTATGACTTTACTTCTTGTACTTGGGATTCATTAGTAATGTAATGTGGATGTTTGGAATTTTATAGTTGGTTTGCCTTGTTGCCTTGAATGTTTTAGGATATGGTGTACAGATTTTTTCTATAAAGGACCAGATAGAATTATTTTAGGCTTTGTGGGCCATTTCATTTTTGTCATATGTTGTCATTCTTTTTTAAAACAACTTTTACAAGTGAGGCTAAAGCAAGAGAATCTCTTGAGCCCAAGAGTTTGAGGTTGCTGTGAGCTATGATGCAAGAGCACTCTACCAAGGGTGACAAAGAGAGACTGTCTCAATTATAAAAAAAAAAAAATAGGGCGGCGCCTGTGGTTCAGTGGATAGGGCGCGCCGGCCCCATATACAGAGGGTGGCAGGTTTGAACCTGGCCCCAGCCAAACTGCAACAAAAAATAGCTGGGTGTTGTGGTGGGCACCTGTAGTCCCAGCTACTTGGGAGGCTGAGGCAAGAGAATTGCCTAAGCCCAGGAGTTGGAGCTTGCTGTGAGCTGTGACATTACAGCACTCTACCGAGGGTGATAAAAGTGAGACTGTCTCCAAAAAAAAAAAAAGAAAGAAAGAAAAGAAACACACACCATTCCTAGTTATGGGGTGTGCAAAAACAGGTTTGCCCATGTGCTGCCAACTCTGCTGTAAAATAGAGATAGTGTTTTCTAGACAAAGAAATAATAAGAAACAAAGGAAGATTTATGATTGTCTTGATAGTAAGGATAGCTTAGTAGCTGTTGCGGAATTTCTCTTATTTTCCTCATTTATTGGGTAGCTTTGGTTAATACGGAACTGGGCTGGACCCAGCAGTAGAGGTTCCATTATCTAGCCTGAGTCACTTACCTTTCAGGTGTCTTGGACAGCTGATCCAACTCCCATGTGACTCATTTTTATTCGTGTAGGGGCACCAGACCTCAGTTGGTGTGACCTAGAACACTGGTAGATAACAGCTATCACTGAAGCAGTCTGTCCAGGGTGTTGGCTCTATTGCCAGTAGCCTTTTTCTGACTTCCTCATTAGTAAAGAGTGATTGGACCCAAATGGGTGTGGGTGGCCAGGTCATTCTCTGCTGTCCGTAGCTGTTGTAGTTGACATGAATAGAGAGGGTTTGGGGCCTGGTTCTTGGGTTTGTTCCAGGGTAACAACAGTGGACTTAGAAACCTGCTTGGCTAGCAAGAATATTTGCTGCTTCCTGTTCTAGATCTAGAGGAGTAATACAAGGTCAAACTTAAACAGTGAGGCAGTGATTAGTGGGGAAAAAAGCACTGAATTCAAAGACCTTGGTTCTACTTGTACCTTTGCTGCTAGCTATATAGCCTCAAGCAAGTCATTTGAACTTTCTGGACACAGCATTGTTATTTGTAAAACAAAGGAAAGAATGTTCTGATCCAACCTATAAAAAGAAGAAGATACAAGATAGATTTTTCTGATTGACAGAATTTTGGTTATGGTAATTATTTTTATAATTGTTTTTATAGATGTAACCTGCCCAATACAGAGCTTGAAAAATTCAGTAAAGCATACTATTTGTTGATAAAGAGCCACTGTTAATATTTTGGTGTCCGTCCTTTGAGTTCTTTTTCTTATGCATATAAACATACCCTATCCCCCCTCCCCCAGAATGGGATCTTATCTGATACACTGCTTAGTAGCCTCCTTTTTGGAGGGTGGGAGGGAAGACAGACCCTCAAGCTGTTGCCCTGGGTAGAGTGCTGTGGCATCACAGCTCATGCAACCTCCAACTCCTGGGCTTAAGCGATTCTCTTGCCTCAGCTTCCCAAGTAGCTGGGACTACAGGCACCCGTAGTTGTCATTATTGTTTGGCAGGCCCAGGCTAGATTCAAACCCACCAGCTCTAGTGTATGTGGCTAGCGCCTTTGTAGCCTACTTTTAAAACTTAGCTATATCACTTACTCATTACTAATTTTGTTTCAGTGGCATTTTAAAATAGTCTTTTTTTTCTCTTTATTCATCAGAATCCTTGTTTTGTGGTTGATGTTGATACCTGTTAGGCAGGCCTTCTGCTCAGGCCAACCTGGAGTATTTGGTGAAAGTAGGAGTGGTTTTATGGAACACACAACCAGTTTATTTGGAGAGTTGTACACAATAGATAATCCTTTCTCCTGTGGGAGCCATGGAATGAGAGATAATAGGTCTGTCTCTTCCTTTCTGGTGTTTATGAATAAATTATAGTGTGACAGACTCACCCTCTAGTGGTTGTTGGTAGTACTGAAACAGGCAGTATTATATCTTGGTTTGACTTTTCTCTTACCTTCAATTACTTTGTTTCTAGTGGCTGGGCATACCAAATGTGATATTGGCTAGTAGATTTCAGTTCAACAGGATTAGAGGTATTGTCTTTAGAAATTGGAGGATGGAAATCATATCTGTAGCGTACTTGTTAAGGACCAAATGTGACCTTGGGAGGAACTGTGAAAATTAATGTTGAAGTTTATACCCCATCAGTGCTAGAGCCAAGTCCATGTCATATGGTGTGTAGCAAGGTGTTCTTCTCTGTTTTTCTCTGTCAGCCTCTCCTTTATAATTTCCAAAATAGGATAAGGAGGACCTTAAATGTAAAAAGTATTTGGCTCGGGGACTATAGCGCGGTGGTTAACGGCACCAGCCACATGCACCAAAGTTGGCAGATTCAAACCCAGCCCCAGGCCAGCTAAGCAACAATGACAACTGCAACAAAAAAATAACGGGGCATTGTGGCAGGCACCTGTGGTTCCAGCTACTCGGGAGGCTGAGGCAAGAGAATCACTTAAGCCCAAGAGTTTGAGATTGCTGTAAGCTGTAATGCCACAGCACTCTACTGAAGGCAACATAGTGACATTCTATCTCCAAAAAAAAAAAAATGTAAAAAGTATTTAAATGTCAGCCCAATAACTGCTTCCTGTGTGTAAGTGCCTCCTTTCCTGTTTAGCAAAGGGTATGCAAGAACTGTTCTCAGGCTTTGTTTATTGACTTCTGTGGCATTGAGTCACTTGCTTTGGTTCACTCACTTGTCTCAGGGTTTATTTTAATCTCTATACAGGAAAGGTAATAACTATTGGGTATCATTCAAATAAATTGTAAGTATCAAGGTTCGGTTCTTTGTTATTAACCTCTTATGAATGTTTGTTACTTTCTTTTTTTTAGGTGCCTTTAAAATTACTATTTTTACTTTTCCTATTCCAGTAAGGAAAATTGAATGGTATATCATTTCTGGAAAGGAGAGATAAGATCAATGTACTAGAGCTGGAGTTAATCCTGCCTTGAATATGAGGGGTAATGGGAACATCCAGGATGCTAGATTTAATGGCTTAATATATTTCTCTTTTCTCTCATCTCTTTCAAAACTTTGCAGGAGCTACGAAGACATGATTGGTGAGGAGGTGCCATCAGATCAGTACTATTGGGCTCCTTTGGCCCAACACGAACGGGGAAGTTTGGCAAGCTTGGATAGCCTGCGCAAGGGAGGCCCCCCACCTCCCAACTGGAGACAGCCAGAGCTGCCAGAGGTGATCGCCATGCTAGGATTCCGTTTGGATGCCGTCAAGTCCAATGCAGCTGCATATCTGCAACACTTATGTTACCGCAATGACAAGGTGAAGACTGATGTGCGGAAGCTCAAGGGTATCCCAGTACTGGTGGGATTGTTAGATCACCCCAAAAAAGAAGTACACCTTGGAGCCTGTGGAGCTCTCAAGAATATCTCTTTTGGGCGTGACCAAGATAACAAGATTGCCATAAAAAACTGCGATGGTGTTCCTGCCCTTGTGCGATTGCTACGAAAAGCTCGTGATATGGACCTTACTGAAGTCATTACTGGTGAGTTCTAGGCTTAAGGAAAATTGTTAGGTTTGGGTTATTATTAACCTCCTAGAGATGTTGAGAGCCAGTGGGGTTTCTAGTTCTTTTATTTATTTATTTTTTTAAATGTTTGGGATTCACTGAGGGTACAAAGAAATTAGGTTAGGTTGATTGCATTTGTTGAGTAAAGTCCCTCTTATAATTGTGTTCTGCCCCCCAGAGGTGTGCCATACACCATGACCCCCCATCTCCCTCTCGCCTCCCTTTTCTCTGCTCCCTCACTCCCCAACCTCTTAGCTTGTATTAGATCATCTACTACCTTCATATTAGAATGGAGTACATTGGATTCTTGTTTCTCCTTTCTTGTGATACTTAGAAGAATGCATTTAGTCCTTTTACTTTTTATTATTATTAAATCCTAGCTGTTTACATTAATGTGATCATGGGGTACAATGTGCTGGTTTCAGTCCTTTTACTTTTGATTAAGTGTTGTGAACTGGTGGCCTTTGGATTAGATCTGTCTTGCGATTTATTTGGATATCACAGAGCTTTTAAATTTTTAAAGATACGGTTGCCAACATTTAAAAGTCAGAAGATTTTACTTAAAATTTCATAAATTGGCTCGGCGCCTCTGGCTCAAGAGGCTAAGGCACCAGCCACATACACCTAAGGTGGCAGGTTCGAATCCCCAGCCCGGGC